CCCCCCCCCTCCCCCCTGGGCTTTTTTTTTTTTTTTTTGGTCTACTCGTTTCTGCCACCGCTAAAAACCCTAGCCTCGAATGGCCATCGACCAGAATTCCGTCCCCAAAGACCCTGTCCCTTTAAACCCTAACCAATTTCCTTCCACAGCTCGTCCTTCCGCTCCCTTCCAGTCATCTTCCGTCTCTAATGCTGGCGATTCCTCCGCCGCTGATGAATCCGCCGACGATCAACCAGCCGCCCGTAAGGTCAAGCTCCTGTGCAGCTTCGGCGGGAAGATCCTCCCTCGTCCCAGCGATGGGACGCTTCGATACGCCGGTGGCCAGACTCGAATCATAACTGTACGGAGAGATACGACCCTTCCTGAACTATGCCGAAAAATGGCCGATGCCTATGGCGCTCCCGTTGCTATTCGTTACCAGCTTCCCGACGAAGACCTCGACGCTCTCGTCTCTGTCTCCTCAGCGGATGACCTCGATAATATGATGGACGAGTACGACAAGCTCACACAGGTCTCTACCGATGGATCCGCCAAACTTCGCGTCTTCCTCTTTTCCCAAGCCGAAGTTGCTTCTGCATTGACTGATAACTTCTCCTCTGGTTCCGCTCGTATCGGTCCCTACGACAGCGTGAAAAGGTATGTTGAGGCTGTTAATGGCGATTCTGCCGCTGACGCTGGCATCCGTGCTTCCGAGATTCGCCCAAAAAGTAGTATGGCGAGCACCTGCTCCACTCAGAACTCGGATGCTGGCTTTGATGGATCCAACAATGAAGTTTCTTCCCCTGCTATTTTCTCTCCGACTGCGGGGGCCTCAGCTTCTTATGACCCATCAAGATTGGCTTTTGCGGGAGCTGCTACTTCAGTACCGCTTCAGGAGGCTCAATGTTTTCCGGCCAGTTCTACGGTCTTTGGTCAGGCGGTGGTTGTTACAGAGTCCTTGAATCCACCTCATGTGGCACCTTATGGCTCACAGGCTTTTGTGGATCCCCGTCAGGCTCATTGCACGCCTTCACATTCTCTGAATATGGCCGCTGCTCCTCAAATGATAAATGTAGTTTCTATTCCTCCACACACCTATCTTCCTTCTATGCCTATTTACCCTTCGTCAATGCCTGTCCAGGTTGGAAGTGTGAAACCAGTTCAAGGAAAGGTGGATTATTTTCCAGAGGAAGATCGATTGAGTGGAAAGTTTGCTCAGCCTGTGTCTGATCCTAGTTATAAGGTGTTACAGCAGCCTCTTTCCCAGTTGCCACCTCTGCAACCTTCTCATTTGCAGCCACCAAGTATTGCACCATATGGATTGCATCTAGTTTCTCCATTGGCTCAGGGGCCAGTGTTAAGATTTGAAGATTGTCAGATGTGCCAGAAAGCTTTGCCTCATGTGCATTCGGATAGGCTGGTCAATGAGCTAGGTAATGTTTCTGGGGTTCATGAGTCAAATGACAATCCTATAGTCCATAATTATCATTCTGAGGATATAGCAAAGCTGCAGGGTCATCAATCTAAAGTTGAACATGCTATAAACCCCGGTCAATGTGGGATTCATGGAGTTAAGAAAGTCCCTGATTCAGTACTAGACAGGGCGCCAATTTTTGGTCAGTCTGCTGAAAAAATTGACCATGCGAAACTAAAGCAGCCATTGAGTTCTCCGGACTTGTCTGGAGACATGCATGCCTCTTATGGAGTGTTTGTAAGTTCTCCACAATCTCATCCTCAGGGTTCTTTCCAGCTGCAACAAAATCAAGTATTGCAGAGGGATAATTTTCATGCTGCTAAGATTCATCCAGCTGTTAACTTTACCTTATCAACCAGTGTTCACGGATCTAATGGTGCCTTTTTCAGTCCTCCACAAACTTTTCATGAGGATTCTTTGCTGCAACAGAATTTTCTTCTCACTGATAGTGTTAATTACAATAAGGTTTTCCAACCTTTTGGTACAATAGGTTTATCAAGCACCGGCCCATCAACTAATGGAGTGTCGGTCAAGCCTCCCCAACCACATCTTGATGATTCTTTGCAGCAGCAACAATTGCTTGCTGGAACAGCAGCACCATTTTTTCCAGATATGCAAGCAGGAAGCGGCAACCAATGTAGCAAAGATTCTTCTCCAATCAGTAATACCGGTTACACTGTTCCGGAACCTCATAGCATTGCTCAAGGCTATGTTAAACAAGTTAACGGGATGATGGAAGCTCCTAATGTGAATACCTTTGATATTTTAAGGTCTAACGACCAATTGAAACCAAAATTTGTGCCTGATGTTGGCATCCAAGAAAATTTGTCAGCGGTTGGAGACAATAATGCATTCGGATTAAAGAATGGTGCAGATGCCTTAGGTACAAGCAATACCTTAATGAATTCTACAGTTGGTCTCGAGGATATATATATCAAACCAATCAATCCAGTGGTTTTGAACACTGGCATCTCAAGGGAGATCCATCCTCAAAGCTCTTTATTGGTTGGAGAGGACAACGATACAGCGAGACTTCACTGTGGTGGAAGTAAACTACCTTCAAGCAATGCCTTAATCAGCACTGGGCTTCTGCCTGAGGAAAATTATTTGGGTCTAATTAATCCATTGTTGTCTACCATGATGGAATTACACACTTCTGAACTTGCTAATACTTTTCAGGCATCAACCAGGACCGGGAGTAGTGTGTTTGACACACAGAATTTTGAAAGAGGGGCTAATCCTCTTCTGTCCAGTCAACGAAATCATAGAATGTCTCCATATTTTACTGATACTGCTTACGCCAATGCCGTTCACGAAGAAACAAGTAGGGGTTGGAAAGATGAAGTTTTTCAATTTCAAAACTTTTTTGATGGCATGTCTGCCTCCCAAAGATGCAATGCTCCATTTCAATTGTCCAGTTTAATAGTACCAGGACAAGGGGTACAACTTCAGGAGACCTTTGCCCCAGGTTTACTCTTGGACAATGAAGGTCCTCAGGAAATTCTTGGCCGCATGAATGAGTATCTTCCAAGTCCAGCCATAGTTTCTACCAGAGAACCTGCTATTTCTGGAGATAGTTCTAGTGAGAACCGCTTGCCAAAAGGACAAAGTCCTGATTTAGCAGTCCTATTAGAAGAAGATGCTCTTCACCCTCCTGTAGACTGGCTGATCAAGGAAGCACGTCCTGATCCTGTAATAGGTACAGAAGGTTGCTGCTTCACTCCTTTTAAGTAGTTTTTATGACTCAACTATCTGCACTCCAATATTTTCATTAATTATGAATATAATCATAATGCCTTTTTCTTTCATTTGTTCGTAGACCATGGGGCAGATTATATAGATCAAAATCTGCATGATCTTGCTGAACAGGTTGGGGAATTAGTGCTTCAATCTTCTCCAACTGTATCTGAGTTGCCTTTTAACATGCCTATGGAAATGAGCCAACCGTTTCAATGCCACCATACTTGTAGCGAGAATGATTTGCCAAAGGCACAGAGTCCTGATATAGCCGTGCTATTAGAAGAAGGTCATCTTCAATCTCCTGTTGATTGGCTGCTCAAGGAATCATGTCCTGATACATTTGTAGATATAAAAGGTTGGCGCTTCTTCACTTCTTTAAGTTGTTCTTATGATATAACTATCAGCATTTCAGATATTTTCATTGATGATGAATGTGATGATAGTAAATTTTTACTATTATTATTTTTCATTTGAATTTTAGACACTTTTTCAGATTACATAAATCAAGATCTGCATGATCTTGCCGAGCAAGTTGTGGAATCAGTGCTTCAGTCTTCCATACCACCTTTGTCTGTAATATCTTCAAGTGGTCCTATGGAAATAAGCCCATCATTTCATAAAGGGTGTGGGTTAAGTGAAGATGACTCTAATTCACAAACTGTAGCTATCCTAAATGATCAGAAAATTGAGGTGAAGCAATGATCCCCATTCTCTGTTTTTATCTTTGTTGTATTCTAGTGTCTCAAGTATGTTGCGTTTCAGGACATCAAGACTAGACAACCAGATAAACTGCATATGGGCTTGCAGATGGCAAATCATATCGGGAGATTACAGGTTCGAGAGCAGTATATTTGTCTGCTTACTATGTTCAATTTTTTAATTTCTATATTTTATTAATTTACTTTTTGGTCCTTTACCTTCTCAGATAATAAAGCAAAGTGATCTTGAAGAGCTGCGAGAACTGGGTTCTGGAACCTTTGGAACAGTGTATCATGGAAAATGGAGAGGGTCTGATGTTGCAATAAAAAGAATTAATGACCGATGTTTTGCTGGAAAACCTTCTGAGCAAGATAAGATGGTTCGTTCTCATAGCAAAGGATTCTCTCTCTTTTGTTGTCATCCCTTCATGTAATTTTGATTGTGTATCAATGTCTTTCATATTTGCAGAGGACCGACTTTTGGAATGAAGCTAGCAAACTTGCTGACTTGCACCACCCCAATGTTTTGGCGTTTTATGGTGTTGTAATCGATGGACCGGGTGGATCTTTTGCAACAGTTACTGAATATATGGTTAATGGTTCTTTACGAAGTGTCCTTCAGAGGAATGATAAGTATGCCTTTTTTTTACATACTTTTATTTTCTTTGTTGAAAAAGTGATTTTTTTTCTTAGTGCTCGACATGATTTAGATAGAAATGCTAATATATATATATTTTTTATGCAGGACACTTGATCCTTGGAAATGCCTTTTAATTGCAATGGATGTGGCATTTGGGATGGAGTACCTACATGGAAAGAATATTGTACATTTTGATTTGAAGAGTGATAACTTGCTTGTCAACCTTAGGGATCCTCAGCGCCCTATATGCAAGGTATCTTTTGAAGCGTGGGAAATTCATTTTTTTCTTTGAAAAGCTCTCAATATAGAGAATTATCATCATTTTCAAAAAAGATTGTAATTATTGTGGTTTTAGTTACACCATGTCTGATTATTGGTTTAAGGCATGGGTTTCCTGGTTTGGACATATAATATATCTTGTTTCTTTTGTTAGAATAGTGTAAAATTTTGAATAACCTTTTTACTCACTGAATACATAGATAATTCGCAGATAATTCGCTTATAAATAGGCGAGTACAAGAGATAAAAAGAGGAAAGAAATCTTGATACAATTAAGTAATTCCTATAATTATGGAATAAATATAAATATCTATAATTAAGGAATTACCCTTTTTATACCATGACAAAATATAGCAATTACTATATAAAATAACGTAAATAATAATGAGCGTAATTCCACACTCCCCCTCAAGGTGGGTTGTACAGAATGTACATGCCCAACTTGTTGGTTAGCTCATCAAAACTGGATTTAGGGAGAGCCTTAGTGAGAATGTCAGCGATTTGGTCTCTAGAAGGAGTATAGACCACTTCAATGATTTCATTGCCCACCTTTTCTGAAATGAAGTTTCAATCAATCTCAATGTGTTTCGTTCGGTCATGATGATAATGATTTCATTGCCCACATTTTCTGAAATGAAGTTTCTAATATTGATTGCAGCTTGATTGTCACCGAACATCTTGATAGAATTTTCTCCCATAATTTCAAGCTCTTTGAGAAATCTTTTGATCCACATTTCTTCACAGATACCAAGCGCCAGTGCTCTGTATTCTGCTTCTGCACTACTCCGAGATATCACTGATTGCTTCTTACTTCTCCATGTCACTAGATTGCCGCATACATACGAGCAATACCCAGAGGTTGATCGTCGGGTGGATATATCTCCTGCCCAGTCAACGTCAGTAAAGACTTCTACCTTATGATTATCATTCTTTTTGAATAATAATCCTTTCCCAGGTGTCATCTTTAAGTATCTTAAGATACGGTTGACAGCTCCCATATGTTCCTCAGTAGGACAGTTCATGAATTGACTTACTATACTTACTGAAAAACTTATGTCTGGTCTGGTGTGAGATAAGTAAATAAGTCTCCCAAAAAGCCTCTGATATCGTCCTTTGTCGACAGGTAA